GTACAAATTGCAAAAGTTTTATTTTTGTCAAACTTTAAAGTTACAGCTAACTTTTCAATTTATTATGTAATTTAAATAATAACAGTAATATGGTTTAGTTAGCCAGGATATTTAGTTCTGTATCAGAGTTAATTTTGCAATTGAAAACAAAAAATTAATGAATCATTATTAAAATTTTGACAGAATATCTTGATGTGGTTTATTGATATTAAAATGGTATTTCTAAAATCTCTAATAAATGGCCCTAGTTTAATCTTGTCAGTGATTTATTAGTTATGGAAATGTAAAGAGCCTCATTCTTCTTTGAAACCAGGTTTGGCAGGAAATAAATGTGGAAGCTAAACATGTTAAGGATATCATGAAAACACTAGAGAGCTTTAAACTAGACAGTACTCCCTTGAAAGCTGCACAGCATGAACTTCCAGCTTCTGAGGGAGAAGTCTGGTCCATGCCTGTACCTGTTGAACGAAGGTAAGTGGAGGCCTTTTAGAGAAACCAATTAGCCCAAGAAGCTTATAGCATTGATTATATCTAGGAAGAGGACTGGGTGGCTGAGAACAGAAATGGGAGGGAGTTTTTTTTCTGAATATTTTCTTATACCTCTTGAATTTTGTGTCATGTGACTCTATGATCTATTTCAGTAAATACAGTTAGGTAGAAGTAATCTGAAGACATGCTTTCATGAATGAATTCAAAGTAGTAGAGACAATATTATCTTGTAGAAGGAGACTGGACCTAGGAATCTGTTTCTATCTTTGCCACCATCTATAGCTTTGAGAAAATAATATAACCTTTTTAGGCTGCAGATTTTTTTTTTATGTAGAGTGAGGAAGTTAGATCAACAGTGGTTCTCAAACAAACTATCACAGAATAACTGCTTTTCATCAAGTTATACTGCTGCTAAAATTGAAAGAAATGGAGTTTTTAATTCACAGAAAAATAAAAGACAACATGTTCTGAATTTTAGAGTTTTCTCCAGCATTTTTTCCCCTGGCTTCCTACTACCAAGTGCCAGCAAATGAACAATTAGTGAAACTGGTATTTACTGAAATGCTACAAATAGCCAATCATGCTTAGTTTCACTGCATATTTTTTAACTGACAAGTGTGCAGGTGGATTTTAGTTATCTATATCATTGACATAATAGATTTCTTATTTTGCATTGTAGGTTTAAATATTGACTCTATCAGGGCTTTCTAGAAAACATTGTGATTTCCAGGTTGCATTAGGATGTTGCTCAAATGTTTTTCAGTTTTAACATTCTATCATTGTGATTCTTGATTTTTGGTTGTATTTTATAATCACAGGTGCTGGATACTGAGCACCCACAATGTTCTGAACTATTTTAGGCTACAGGTGTTATTTCATTTATTGCTCACAAAAAGCCTTCCAAATGAGTCTTATTTTCCCTGTATTTCAGATAAGATAGCTGAGGTATAGGGAGATTGGGTAACTTTTTCCCAATATTACCAAGCTAACAGTGGAGCTAAGATTTGAACCCAGATATATTGCATTTTATAATAGTCATTACAAAGCTGGCACTCTCTGTCATAGTAGTCCTTCTCAAACTAGCATACAGAACAGTCTCTTAGGGACATTAATTAAAAATGTGGAACTAGGGGCGTCACTTTGAGTCAATCTGATATAATAGATACCAGGTGAAACTTAGCAATCTGCAGTTGATTCTGATACAGGTGGTCCATGGGTCACACTGTGAGAAGACCCATACCAAAATATTCCTGAGATTTAAGGGCAATTAATGGGTATTGATTCTTTGCCACTTTAATTTTCTTCAGATCCAGATAAAAGTGCTGTATTAATGTTCTGTTATTAACTTCTGATATCTTTTAAATGTTTACTGAATTTCTCCCTTGCTCATAAGTGCTTTCATAGAAATTATATTTTCTGATATATTTAATAGTTCATTAAGAAAAGCACGGTAGGCTCATTAAAAAATAGAAAAATTCATAGAAGTAGGAGAGAAATCACACAGTCATTCTAGTTTATTTCCTTCT